CAACGGGTATGGCAAAAAATTTATTGGTAGTGACCGCGTCGTCGTCAATATTTTGAGATAAGCTGTTCTGTGGGACTACGAACAGAGTTTTATAACCCAACTTGCTGAAATGCTTTGCTATATGCGACTTGCCACCACCTGCATACTTAGATCGGATCATCATAGGATTATTTGTTACGATATCTTTTGCTATGCTTTCCGTGTCCCACTCGTTTTCTATGGGTCGGGTCTCATTGCTAACTACGGGAATTGGTATCAGTTCGTTCTTTTTTGGTGCCCACTGCTCTGTGGGTCCCGCTATGTTTTTACTCTTTTCGTGTCTCCACCCGCCGATACGATCTGAGAACTCTATTAGGTTCTTAGCACGTCTTAAATGCTCCTTCCTAATGACGAAGGCATCTGTTTTAACACTCCATACCCCTATATGATTTTCTGTTAGCTTGGTGTAGTCGGTGTGCATTTTGAAGTTATGATGTTGTAATAATAATTCTCTGATGTATATATATCCGTTTCGTAGGGTGGCTTTATCGGTCACTGTTAAGCAATAATATTTTCTGTCCATCTCCTTTTCTACGAAGTCTGTCTCGCCGTTAGGTAACTCAATCTCATCAACATACATACCCGAAATTCTGTTAATCTTTCCTCCGATCTTGTGTTGATAATATAAGGCTTCCTTTAGAGTATCAAAGGCATAACTTTTATGGGATTTATTTGTGTTCTTCTCAAGTAGCCCGAAGTTAACATTAGCTATCAATTTCTTTATTCTGATGTCTTCGGCTGGTTTGTCAGAGATGTCTGTCTTCCATAATTCCGCTGTGATCTTCCTATAATCCACCTTGTATACTCTGGATGGTTGCTTATAATAAAGTATCTTACATTGCTTCACGAAGTGCTTTAAAAACATACCATATACTAAAGTGTAGGCTTTATTGAAAAATAAACTCCGCTTGGTGGGCTTGACCAAGTAGAGCGTGAGATCGTGAAAATCTGTCACGTTGCCATTGAAGGGCTTCCAGATATCAAACTGAGTGAATACCGGTATCTCGGCGATCTTGTTAAACGCAGATGTGTAAGCTTTTCTTACATCTATCTCCGTAGTCACTTCTGGGGGATAACAGTATTTGTCGTCTTTGTCTGTCTTAGGGTTATAGAAATAATAGTGTTTATTTATTTCACCTGTTGGGGGTATGGTGCGACACTCCTTGAAAATCTCTACGTCTACTTCGTTGTAATATGACTTGTGGGTCGGCTTGAAGAGAGCGGTATTAAAGTTAAACATTGCTTTAGACATCTTGTTGTAGATCTGCTCCGTTCTCACGCAGATGGAACCGTCTATAGAATTATTCACTAAGTTCTGGGTCTTAACCTTGTATTTAATCTCTTTGTGGCTCTTGCTGTTTATCTTGATCTTAAACTTGAAGTTAAGTTCGGACACGCACCCCGCGCTAAACCTAACCTGTGGCTCATACCCCGCCTGTTTGCTAAGATAAAAGAGATGAGACAGATCGTAGCCATTGTATACCAATGTGTATTCACTGTGTTCTGTGTATTTACGTATGTCGTCTAGGGATGTGATCATTTTACACTCCACTGGCTCCTCCTTCTCGTTAAGGTGATAATCTGAAGATGCCTTAACAGATATACTATAATTACTGCTTTTGGGTATCATCTGCCTCAACATATTCATATTATCACTGACTGTGTAGATATGACTGTTCTTCACTATAGCGTATAAGGCTGGGATATTATGATTTCTTTTTATTGGGTCACGCTTATAAATCAGAGTATCAAAGACATCATAAATTCTGACTTGCAAGTTAAAATGTTCAAACACCTTCGCCATATCTGTTATTGATGCCCCTTTTGTTTTAAAATCTTCTTCCGTCTTGTTTATGATCTTTAGGATGACTTCTTTTGTTAGTTTGTTCTTCTCTCTCTTCTTGTCTCCCATAAGGGTATCCTTATAATAATCCGTCAAGGTGTTAAACCAGCACTCGTTCTTAACATAATGCTCTACTTTAATGGCTTCCTTAAAGGTCTCATACTGTGGATCTAAGGGTGTCTGAATATATCTGTGATACATACTGACATTCTCTGTGTTTGTTAGTTCTTCGTCTTGTGGCTTGAAAGCATCGGCATTATCTACCCTTTCGGCGTAATTAACTTTAATACAAGCAATGTAACCTTCGGCATAACCGACATCTGCTTTAAAACTGTCATCTGTCATTAATAACATCTTGAGCCTATGAAATGTTTTCGTTTCTTTCTTCTCGTCTCTAAATATTCGTCTCCTCGTTAAGTTTTCAACCCACGGTGTTGTGGCTACATTGGCTGATAGATCACGCATATAAATAGGAACGTATGCCCTACCCCTGCTGTCTCTGAAAGATACTGATAATCCTTGGTGTGATTCTGTCTTCAGTTGGTATAAATGGACATTGATTGAATATTTTCTTGGTTTCCTCGGGTTGGTTCTTCCCGTTCGTTTGTTGTCTTCTTTTGCTTGTGCCATTCTCTGACCTAGTTGTTCTTTATCCTTGTGCTTGTCGTATAGTTTATTATATTCGTTTTCCGCTTTAGTTTTTTCTTTGTCTGTTTTTGCGGTGGTGAGTTTCCTGATTAAATTGTCTGCTGTGGTGAATTGGGCGATCTTACGATCTGAATATAAATTAATTATATTTTGAACCTTTGTTCTGGTGGCTTGGGTGATGCGGTTTCTTCTGTTGTTATAAAATGTTTGTAGTGCTTCTGTATTACGCTTAATGGCTTTGGACATATACTAATATAATTAAACTATATATTAAAATTTCCCTTTAAATGGATTTTTCTGAAGATTTCTTTTAAAGAAAATGCATCTAAAGAAAAAAATAATATATATAGTATAGTAATATGAGCAAGAAGCCCGAGGATATGACAATAGAAGAAATCAAAGAGCAACTCGCCATATACAACAGACTGTATTATCACAAGCGCAACAAGGACGAGGCATACATGCAAAAGAAACGGGAATCTGCACAAAGACACAACCAGAAAAAGAAGATCAAGGAGTATGAACAAGCTAACAATATCACACTGAAGCCCGAGGAGATTAACGATGAATTGCTATCAGAAATATTGAATGCAAAGAAGCCGATGAAGCCCAAGCACGGCTCGGTAAAATACGACATGAAGAACTGCAAGATCATAATGCCGATGTCCGAATGATGATTTAATTTAGTTATTAAATCATTATTTTCTTTTATTTTTATATGAGCGAGAAACAAAAAATTATTAATGATGTGTATTTTGATCGTGCGGGGTTTGGCTCAAAAAGTCGGACTTTAGAAGAAGCGCGGGAGAAAGACAAAACCATCACAATGTCTGATATTAATGAGTTTTTTAGGAAGAATGTTGATCAAAAGCGAAAACCCGTCGGTTCAAACAGCTTTGTCGCCCCGCATTCAGCATATGAGTATCAGATGGACTTATTTTTTATAAATGATTTGGAAGATCAAAAATTTAGAGTAGGAATGTTAATGATTGATATTTTTGATAAGTTTATGCATGTCGTGGCAATTAAAGGTAAGAAGGAAGAAGATTTAGCGAGTGGAATGATTGAGTGCTCACATAAAATGGGGAAGAAGCCAAAAATAATTTACACAGACGACGAGGGAGCAATGAACAAGGAGGCAATACAGAAGTATTTACAGGAACAGAACATAGAACATCACAGGACTAGGGCGCATCCAAATTTTAGCGAGAGAGCTATTAGGACGTTCAAAGATTTATTATATCGGCGTGTTGAAGCCGATCAGAAAAAGGGTAAAAACAATATCCAATGGACCGATTATATTTTTGAAATATTATTAACATATAACAATAAAATGAAACATTCCGCGACTGGCTTCACCCCAAAGGATGCGAGAAAACCGAGCAACGAATTAAAAGTTAAACTGCACTTAAATATGAATGCTAAACGAAATCGGGTATATCCTGAATTAAGTGTTGGGGATGAAGTTAAAATATTTAGGAAGAGGAAGCCCAATGAAAAAGAACGTGTATCAAATTGGTCGCAAAATGTTTATACCATAGAAAGAATTGATGAAAAACTGGGTCAAAAATATTATTATGTTGGAGGAAATGATAGAGCGTATTTACGCTTTGAGTTGTTAAAAAATTAACTCGATTTATGTTGTTGGTGGCACCTTCCTAAACCCAAAAAGTTTACTACACTCCAGTTACCAAAATTGTTTTGTGTGTTTGATGTTGCTTGTTCGTTCGTGTACATTTTTCCAATGCTTGTGTTGCGTTTCGTTTTTGTAGCTATGATATTGGTTTTAACTCAAAATATTTAGTAACTTGATTTTTTTCGTTTCAAAGCATTTTAAATATTGTGATAAACGAGAACCTCAATAAGAGCCACGAACCACCCAAGGTGCTGGTAGTCATAGTGGTGGATCTGGTCGTAGGGCTCGGTGTTGTAGAGCTCGATGTCGGACTCCTTCGCGCAGGGGAAGTGGGAGGAAATGAGATAAAAGGGTTAGGATAAGAACTGGCACTCATGATCAGCAGAGTTTTTCCTGCCCCGCGGTGAGAGTTGTGTGAGTTTTGTGACGGTCTTTCGCACTTTGCCCATGCTGTGCTGCCTCACACCACCAGACTAGGGACAAAATTATACGCGGATTGGCACCCCCCTACGGGTGGGATTGGTAATCCCGAAAACCCTGTTTAGTGGGCTAAGCGATCCCCAAAACCCTGTTTAGTGGGATCGGTAATCCCCAAAACCCTGCTTAGTGGGATTGATGACCCTCTATCTGAACTCCTCACATTCTGCGAGTGAGGTGGTATGAGGCGATGGAAATTGACCCATCTTGTTGAAGAACCGGGATTTATGACTCATACCCAGTCCAAGCTGCTACACACGATGTCCGCTTGACATCTGGAGGAGTCATTGCACGCTCTTTCAACTCAGAAGTCTCAGGAGCACGCCGGTCGCCATGCTCATGCTCTCATGAGGCGGATCAGCGTGCGTGCGTCGCCGGCCATGAAGAAATGACCCCTCCTTTCATCTCCGCAACTGGGTTGTAGTCACCGTCTATGACAACTACATCGTGGCCAATATGTCCCTCTGCCTCAGGGTGCACTAGACACCGACCAGACAACGACACAGCAATGCAGAACAACTGAGCTTGACCCATCCATACCTGCAAGGTCAACACTGCCATCGCAACAGCGATGCCCAGCGGTGGGTGTCCACCGCATACGAAGCCGCGGCGGACAAGTTTTGGGTAGTGGATGACCTGATAGCACAGGTTGACTTGTCTTGATGTTCAAAGACAAGCGGCGAGCGTTGGCAAGTTAGTTACGCAATTAACTAAGTGAGCGACCGACGATAACTGATGAATGAGCATCTGGAGACCATTGGCCACGTCCCTGTGCCTGGCGCTCATCCCCGACTTCCAGGAAATATCGCTGAGCAAAGAACGTCCTGCTTTTGTCAGCCCCTTGCCAGAAGGTGTCACGAGCTTTGTCTTGAACTTGTCGTACGCGGCCGACAGAATAAGGGTTGGATCTCTGTCGAGGAGGCCGCTCTCGACCAAGAAGCGGTTGCACAGCACTGCAGCTGTGCTCGTCTTGGCAGGTAACCTTGGTTCAGGCAGCAAGTTTGCACCCGGCACATGGAAACTATGTTTGCGCTGTTGCCTGCCTGCAGCAACGTTAGTGAATGGCTGATATTTTCTTCTGACCACGGAGCAGCTCACGCTGCAAGAGAAAGTTTTGCCTTTCCAATGCAGTGCAGTTTAAGCTCAGTTCGCGAGCTTGTGCCAGCGCTCGTTCCTCACGAATTTGTGCCAGCGCTCGTTCCTCACGAATTTGTGCCAGCACTCGTTCCTCACGAGCACGAGCTTCTGCGATGTAGTCGGTGACGTTAAGGATGGTTTCTGTTGTCGCAGTCGGGTCAACCATGTTTCGGGCCTCTTGGCTAGGTGTCAGACTTGCACGCCGCACCACTGTGAACAACGGAAGGCTCGGACTGCAAAGGGTCATCATCAAAGCGAATATGATGATCATGGCTGGCAGACGAGCCATGCTGGCATTAAGCTCCGCAACACAACAATCATTCATGCGTGTTAGCATGTGTCATAATCTCATTACGTGATCTCCCTAGAGCACAGCTGGTGCACCTGATGACTTCGTCAACGTGTCGCACAAGAGCAGAAACTATGATGTGCTGCTGGCCATGCATGAGCAGTCGTGGGTTTGCTCATGCTCCCACTGCTGACGCGTTCATATCAATCCTCCCTAAACCCTAAACACTAAACCCTAAACCCTAAACTTTAAACCCTAGCACCAGAGTCTCCTTCCGGCTTCTTGATGTGCATCTGCTGGAAGTCGTCGTAGTCCACGGCACATGGCAGAGCGGAAGGAGGAACCCTTAACCCTAAACCCTGAACCAAATTCTACAAGGACCCCTTGCCTATTTTGACCAATAATGCCACCCTAGGGATAATAGATGGGGTTATGGTTATTCCTAGAATTGTGTTGATAATGGTGTAGTAGTAGTGATATATCGGTGGGGGTCCTAGGAATGATCATCTAATGGGGGAAGTAGTAGTGATTTATCGGTGAAGTGTAGGGGGGAGTATAGGGATAATCATCTAATGGGTTGGCGGTGGCATTAGGCAAGGTATACTCTAACTCATTTTAGGGTGCGGGGCTCCAATTCATGGACACAGGCAAGTGCTGACATTCGATCCCAGGGCAACGCTTGTCAACTATCATGAACCATTGCATGAGGATCTTCGTGAAACCGGCCACGGTCTGATCAGGTCAGGCCCAAGGTTGGGGGGACAACTGTCCTTTGGCTCCGACCCTACCTACCGCCCAAGTCAAGTATTTTCTGCGCAGCTGGGGCCATGGCATTGCTGAAGTTGGCAAAGTCCACGTCTGTGAGGTTTGTCTCCAGCCCGCCCAAGGGCTCGACAAGGCTTGGCAGGACGTAGGTCACCTCACGGCTCTCAGCACAAACTAAGTGTCTCGGAGTCTCGTATATACTGTGAACGCCACCCTGGTCGGGCCCAAATGCAAACCTTCAAGCAACTCAAGCGCAATCAGGACGATGTAGTGTGGGCGGTAACGGTGATAATTGTTTTGCATACTTTGCACCAACAGCCAACAACAGCCTACTGTCAGACGTCGGCAGCACATCTGCAGCAGACTCTCTCACTGCCGTTTGAGATTGCTACTGCCCAGAAGAACGCTAGCAAGCCGATGGACACAACTCTGTATTGAGTAGCTACTGAGTGCTTGGTATACTCTACGTAGTCCTTGTGCAGGGACTCACTAACTGGATATGCCCGGGTCCAGTCCAAACTTAGCCCTCCACTGCTTTTCGTTTTCTCGTCACGTGGCCAGCTCCAGGCGCTTGCAAAACCCCACTGCCCGAATGACTGGGTGTCATTTAAGAGGCGGGAGGGGAGCATCATGAGCATCAGCTGGGTCGTGTTCTCGTCACGTGGCCCCCTAAGCTCCAGGCGCTTGCAATTTAAGAGGCGGGAGGGGAGCATCATGAGCATCAGCTGGGTCGTGTTCTCGTCACGTGGCCCCCGAAGCTCCAGGCGCTTGCAAAACCCCACTGCCCGAATGACTGGGTGTCATTTAAGAGGCGGGAGGGGAGCATCATGAGCATCAGCTGGGTCGTGTTCTCGTCACGTGGCCCCCTAACCTCCAGGCGCTTGCAAAACCCCACTGCCCGAATGACTGGCACCCGAAACAATCCAATGCATAAGAAATTTCAGCCCCTCAAATTCTTAAGCAAGGAATTCTTAAGCAATACTCCCGCTGTAGGTTGCCACGTGAGGAGAACACGACCCAGCTGATGCTCATCATGCTCCCCTCCCGCCTCTTGAATGGCGCCCAGTCATTCGGGCAGTGGGTTTTGCAAGCGCCTGGAGCTTAGGGGGCCACGTGACGAGAACACGACCCAGCTGATGCTCATGATGCCCCCCTGCCGCCTCTTGAATGGCGCACAGTCATTCGGGCAGTGGGGTTTTGCAAGCGCCTGGAGCTTCGGGGGCCACGTGACGAGAACACGACTCAGCTGATGCTCATGATGCTCCCCTCCCGCCTCTTGAATGGCGCCCAGTCATTCGGGCAGTGGGGTTTTGCAAGCGCCTGGAGCTTCGGGGGCCACGTGACGAGAACACGACCCAGCTGATGCTCATGATGCTCCCCTCCCGCCTCTTGAATGGCGCCCAGTCATTCGGGCAGTGGGTTTTGCAAGCGCCTGGAGCTTAGGGGGCCACGCGACGAGAACACGACCCAGCTGATGCTCATGATGCTCCCCTCCCGCCTCTTGAATGGTGTTGCCACGCGACGAGAACACGACCCAGCTGATGCTCATGATGCTCCCCTCCCGCCTCTTGAATGGCGCCCAGTCATTCGGGCAGTGGGTTTTGCAAGCGTCTGGAGCTTAGGGGGCCACGTCACGAGAACAAGACCCAGCTGATGCTCATGATGCTTCCCTCCCGCCTCTTGAATGGCGCCCAGTCATTCGGGCAGTGGGTTTTGCAAGCGCCTGGAGGTTAGGGGGCCACGTGAAGAGAACACGACCCAGCTGATGCTCATGATGCTCCCCTCCCGCCTCTTAAATGACACCCAGCATTCGGGCAGTGGGTTTTTGCAAGCGCCTGGAGCTTCGGGGGCCACGTGACGAGAACACGACCCAGCTGATGCTCATGATGCTCCCCTCCCGCCTCTTAAATGACACCCAGTCATTCGGGCAGTGGGGCTGGAGCTTCGGGGGCCATGTGACGAGAACACGACCCAGCTGATGCTCATGATGCTCCCCTCCCGCCTCTTAAATGACACCCTTTGACTTAAGAATTTGAGCCCCCCCTGAAATCTGAGGGCACATTCTTAATCCAGTTGTTCTTTTTCTTGTCATTGGGACTTTCCACTCACGACAACTCGAAAATCTTAGGTTGTAAAGCTTTTCAACACAAGGAATTAAGAATCCGAGCCCCTCAGGTTCTGCTTGTAAGCTTTGGCACACAAATCACAGACCTCCAGTTAAGAACCGAGCCCCTCAGATGCCGAAGGAAAAATTCCGAATTAAGAATCTGAGCCCCTCAGATTCTTAGCTTGTAAAGCTTTTACACAAGCAGCTGCCAAAGGAAAAACCCCGAATTAAGAATCTGAGCCCCTCAGATTCTTAGCTTGTAAAGCTTTTACACAAGCAGGCGCCAAAAGAAAACCCCGAATTAAGAATCTGAGCCCCTCAGATTCTTAGCTTGTAGTCTTTTGCTCAAGCAGGCCCAAATCACAGAAACCCCCAACTAAGAACTTGAGCCCCTCAGATTCTTAGCTTGTGAAGCTTTGGCCCCAAACAATCAGAAAAAAGCTCAAGCAATAGGCCCCTGCCTGTTCGCGCGCTCCCTTCTTGTAGCAGTTTCGGGGTTGAGGGTTCAGGCGTTTCAGGACTGCATTACCTGAAAGGGATTGAGTTCAGACCTCAGAAACCTCCAAATTAAGAATCTGAGGGGCTCAGATTCTTAGCTCGCTAAGAATCTCAGCCCCTCAGATTCTTAGCTTGCGAAAGCTGTGCACAAACTCAAAAACTTCCAAATTAAGAGTCTGAGCCCCTTAGATTCTGAGCTTGCATAGGCTGCGCCCTCAGAAACCTCCAAGTTAAGAATCTGAGCCCCTACAGCAGAGTTATGTGTGAAAGAATGCTTTGGGCTAGTGGCTACAGCGTCTTCCTTAAGTCGTAAGGATGCTGGCTCGAATCCCACTTAAGCATGTGCTAAGAATCTGAGCCCCCCCTGAAGCCGGAAGAACATCAAAATGCACACTGAACAAGTCGTTCTCTAGTTAAGAATCTGAGCCCCCCCTGACCAGACCCTTGCACATTCTTAACCAACGCTCGCACTGTACTGCCCGAATGATTGGGCGTCATTCAAGAGGCGGGAGGGGAGCATCATGAGCATCAGCTGGGTCGTGTTCTCGTCCCCCGAAGCTCCAGGCGCTTGCAAAACCCACTGCCCGAATGACTGGGCGCCATTCAAGAGGCGGGAGGGGGGCATCATGAGCATCAGCTGGGTCGTGTTCTCGTCACGTGGCCCCCTAAGCTCCAGGCGCTTGCAAAACCCACTGCCCGAATGACTGGGCGCCATTCAAGAGGCGGGAGGGGAGCATCATGAGCATCAGCTGGGTCGTGTTCTCGTCACGTGGCCCCCTAAGCTCCAGGCGCTTGCAAAACCCACTGCCCGAATGACTGGGCCCCATTCAAGAGGTGGGAGGGGAGCATCATGAGCATCAGCTGGGTCGTGTTCTCGTCGCGTGGCCCCCTAAGCTCCAGGCGCTTGCAAAACCCACTGCCCGAATGACTGGGCGCCATTCAAGAGGCGGGAGGGGAGCATCATGAGCATCAGCTGGGTCGTGTTCTCGTCACGTGGCCCCCTAAGCTCCAGGCGCTTGCAAAACCCCACTGCCCGAATGACTGGGCGCCATTCAAGAGGCGGGAGGGGAGCATCATGAGCATCAGCTGAGTCGTGTTCTCGTCACGTGGCCCCCTAAGCTCCAGGCGCTTGCAAAACCCACTGCCCGAATGACTGGGCGCCATTCAAGAGGCGGGAGGGGAGCATCATGAGCATCAGCTGGGTCGTGTTCTCGTCACGTGGCCCCCTATGCTCCAGGCGCTTGCAAAACCCACTGCCCGAATGACTGGGCGCCATTCAAGAGGCGGGAGGGGAGCATCATGAGCATCAGCTGGGTCGTGTTCTCGTCACGTGGCCCCCTAAGCTCCAGGCGCTTGCAAAACCCACTGCCCGAATGACTGGGCGCCATTCAAGAGGCGGGAGGGGAGCATCATGAGCATCAGCTGGGTCGTGTTCTCGTCACGTGGCCCCCTAAGCTCCAGGCGCTTGCAAAACCCACTGCCCGAATGACTGGGCGCCATTCAAGAGGCGGGAGGGGAGCATCATGAGCATCAGCTGGGTCGTGTTCTCGTCACGTGGCCCCCTAAGCTCCAGGCGCTTGCAAAACCCACTGCCCGAATGACTGGGCGCCAT